TGAATGACAGTGGTCGCTCCATGAATGTGTAGCAAATTTGTTGTAAAATAGTATTATAGAAACACATCCGTTGGCCAGCATGAAATTCTCATTTTAACTTAAGCTTATTTACTCCTTTCTGTTTCCTTTCCAACTGATTAATAACTTCACTAGCAAAAACTGGAAAGCAGTGATTCAGAAATTCCTTAGGCATCTCTTCTTTATGCAAATCCACTCCCAATTTCTTCATTTTGTTCTTTTCTTTGATGCAGTTTAAAGTCCCATACTTGATAGGTATAGTGCCTATAAGATCCTGCTCAGCTGGAGCGCTCCTGGGATGAATGAGGGTGATAAATTGGAACTACTGCAGATAACATGAAAGGCAGACAATCCCAATTATAAGTAATTAGTAATCAACCCAAGATTCTTCAGAAAGTGGCTCGGCCTTGCCTTATGGCTATCAACACCTGAATCGGAATAAAAATGAACTTGAAACCACCTGATTACTCATTTATATAATTATTTATGTTTCCCAGGGTACTCTTACAGCCATGCATTCAATTTCAGCATCCTTGGATACAAGAGTTGCAGATGTCAGAGTGCGTCTCACAGCTAGTGGGTACCTGGTTTGGAACTAGATTTGAACACCCTCCACGCTGTTCATCTGATGCGGAGACTCATTAAGGTCTTCATAGTGGTAAATAGGATGGATCAGCCCTACAGAACTTGAACAGCTGCTCACTGCTCACTTTCATTTCAGTTTCTTTCCACCTGTGATAATTTTTCAAAGCAGAAGTAGCTTCGTTCTTATGAAAATCTCTTGCACACCAGAAAACTTCGCCAAATTACAGAAAATAGAAATCACCTTGAATTCACCACCTCTAGATGATGATGATTAACTTCTCTGATTACCTGGTTTGGTCAGTTTGTCTGTTTCTGTGTACTTTATTTTTTATCTTACTCTACTTCAAAAAGTAAGGTCACCCACGTATTCTCTTTTATAATAGAATATTTGTCAACAGTGTTTTCATTATTAATAAATGTAGAGTTTATCATCAGTTAAGAGGATACAGAGTAATATTCAAGGTGACTCAGTGCATGTGCTGACATTTTTGTCATTTTTTTGAGTCTCATCTCCACTTTTCATTCTCGTGACTGCCATGATGGTCATTAATGAGGATGGTTTGATCACCTTTGTGTAGACAAAATTCAATGAGATAATCATCCTCTCAGTAAACAGTTCTGGAACATTTGAATATTTACATGCAAAATTCTCCTCAACTTTTGACTCATAAGTAAAGTTAAAGATAAGTAGATCATAGACCCAAGTGTTAAATCTGACAGCATACAATTTTGAGAAAAAAAATGGGAGAAAAGTCTTTTTTGACCTTGGATAGGCATGGATGTGTCAGAATGTACACAAAAATAATGAATGGCAGAAGAAATAATTGAGAAATAGATCTTTGTTAAAATTAAAACCTTTTTAACTTCAAAAGACCCTAGCAGAAAAATGAAAAGTTAGTTCATCCACAAATAGGAAAAAAAAAATAACAAAACAAATATCCGTAAAGAACTTCTGAATATATAAAGAACTATTACAACTCCAAAAAAAAAAAAAAAAGAAGAAGAAAAAAAGGAAAAAAAAAACCTGCTAAAAATATTGCCAAAAAACTTGATAGTCATTTCATTACAGAATCTGCGTGAATGGCAAGTAAGTACATGAACATATGTTTAACATTACTGGTTATCAGAGAAATGCAAATTAAAACTGCAACGCGATTCTCTCCCACAATGACTAGTGGCCAAAATGAAAAAGAATGATAGCGCCAAGCGTTGACAAGGAGGAGCATGTGTGGTGGTGTAGAAGCACTTTAGTAACTCTCAGAAACGCAAACAATACTCTATATGATCAAGCAATTTTATTCCTAAGTATTTTCTCAGAAGAACTAAAAATAATGTGCTCTCACAAAAACTTGTATTTAAACCTTTATTGCTGCTTATTCCTAACAACATCAAGCTGTACACCCCATACACCTCCCAGATGTTCGCGGGTAAGCAAGTTGTGGTGTTGCCATACAACACAATGCTGTTAGCATTACAAAGCAATGAACAACTGATCCACACTTCCAGTGCGGGTGAACATCCCTGTCATTATCATAGGCGAGCAAGCCAAACACAGCAGGTTTCATGTGGCACCACCCTGCTCGTGTGAAATTCTGAAAGAGCTAAAACTGTATCGACAGAAAGTTGTTCAGTTGTTGCAAGGACCTAGGATAGAGGTAGAGATTGAATGTAAAAGGCATGGGGAGGCATTTTTGGGACTGGTGACAGTTTTCTGTACTATTATTTTGGCTGTGGTCCTGTGACCATGCACACTGTGTCCTTTGGTCATATGATATACCATATACATGTGAGTATACATTTAAAATGAGTGAATTTTACTTTATTGCAATTTAAACCTCCGTAAGAGGATTAAAAAACAGTAAGGCCTTTTGAAATCAAATCGAGGCATGTGTTATGGTTCTTGTTCTTACAAAACGATCACACAAGCTTACAGGTTCAGGGTTCTGGAGTCACCCAGCAGGCATTTCTTAAGTAGCAGAGCACTTTGTGATTGCATACAGAAGAATTCACAAGTACATGCTGCCGCGAGGGTTGCGATGCTCTTTGTGGTAACTTACTAAGGGCCAATAGTTTTGTCAGAAGAACTGGAGCTTTTCTCTGTGTGACTGGAAATCCGTGGTTAGCTCCGAAGGGAAGAGGTCCAGCACTGCTGTGGTTGCCTTGAAGTTGTGTTGAACCTGGTTCCCAAAGAGTTCTGAGGAACTAGGAATCAACACTGGGAACTTCCCTTTGATGAGAGCCAGCATGGCCAGTGTCCCCTTGTCCCCATCCTGTTTTCACTGTGGGTATTTTTTTTTGTACCAGGGATTGAACTTGGGACCTTGCGCTTGCAAGGCAGGTGGTAGAACCACTGAGCTACATCCCCAGTCCTTCCCTGTGGTTTTAATTCCATTTTTTAAAAAAATCATTGTTAGTCACCAGTTTCAAGATAAAGTATTCAGATATGTGAGTAACAAATCCCGAGATTGTAAGCTCTTTTGAACTGGGACCTTATTTTCCCCTTTCAATTTAACCTTTGCATAGATTGATACACATCACTGGCACTAAATGAATAAGCCATAATTAATACATATTTGGCTCTTGTACTGTTTATTTTTCTCTTCTGAAACTCAGATTAGAATATGTACCCACAGCTCGAATATTTAAACACTAAGCTGAAGGGACTTCCCTGCTCCTTCTTTTCCCTTTCTGAGGCTAAACCAGTTATCTTAACTACAGCAATGGTGTTATCCCAGGCCCCTTCAATTTGGCATCTTAATAATTAGATGGCGAAAAAGAATAAATTTGTAGAAGTAGTGGTTATGTGAACACATCGCAAATTCATGCCTAAGGAGGAAGAGGTTTCCTGTGGGTACTTTGCCTCTAGAAAAGCTGCCCCACTCCTCTGGAGGTATACTGTCCGCAGGGAGTCTTGAGGATCCAGTCTCCACGGAAACACACGAGTGTCCTCCCTGAAGCCGCTCGTGTGTGTCACTAACCCTGGGAAGCAAGGAAGCATGCGCAGTGTGGGAGCGTTTGGCAGTGATGTCGAGGGAAGCTTCATGAAATAATTCTGTATCTTCCGGCGCGTCAAAGGGAATTGTGTATCTATCTGATAGGGTTTCTTAGAGCAGAAATATTTATTCAACAATTACTATGCCCCAAGAGCTCAGAACGCATCATGCTATTTATTTGTTTTTGAGTTTTTTTTTTTTTTTATTGTTACTGGGGATCGAACTTGGGTCCTTGCGCTTGTGAGGAAGGCACTGGAACCATTGAGCTACCTCTGTGGCCCCGCATCATGCTATTTAATCTTCGTAATAATCTTACAATTTGGGGAATAATATCTCCATCTTACAGATGGGAAAACTAAAACACACAGATTACATAACTTGCTCAAAGTTCTACCACTAGTCAGGGGAGGATTGATGCTAAGCCTGCCTGCTTCCTCGCTGGGTTCTTGGTCGCTGACTGCTCCCTGATTCACCCATGAACTGGTGTTGCAGGGATCTGATGCCGCGCTGCTGCTTTACCAGTGGAACTGGTGAGGGATTTTATTTCCAGCAGCCTGCAATCAAAGTGGCAGTCAGATAATTAACTTGTCTTCCCTGAAGGAGCTTTGTTCATGGGACAGTCTTCCAATGGGGCATGAAAAGGCTCTTGGAAAATTGCAAAAGGAAATAAAGCTTCAAAATGAAAAATAGATGCCCATTTATTAACTGTGGACAACATAAGAGCTAGTACCAGGTGTTTACTGAAGTCAGTTACAAAGAGTTACACTGGTGATGAAAATATTGGCGTTCTTTAATTCTTTTTTTTTTTTTTTGCTTTAATTGAGTTTATTGGTACATTTTAGGGATACGGTACAGTTACATTCATTGCTGGGATCTTGTACCTCTACATGACAAGTCTTGATTCTCATTTTTCCCCCTTGTCCCTGCATTCTTTAATTCTAGTCTTCTGCTTAAGCAGATGTGGTTGCCCAGTCATTGCATTACTGGGGCCTCAGATGAGCTCCTTCTTTGTTACATTGTATTTATTTTTGGTTCCCATTTTAATAATGAAATGCATCAGGGCATCTTAGCAATGTTTGCACTTGCAATGACAGGCTTTTAAAATGATTTCTTTTAGATTGATTTGAACTTAAAAACCATTTTTGATGTTGAAAGAGGGAATCACCTAAAGGACTTTGAATCTTTCCCACAAGAAATCTTGTGATGGTGGTGATGGGGCATGGTGTAGCCTTAGGCTTTGTGACCCTAAGATTGTGAAACACAGGTGACACTTCTGGTTGACAAAGGAAAAGTAAGTTTGAGAGGTTTTTGGTGACTTCCATTTTCCTGTCTGGTTTGTCTGAGTGTCATATAAGTACACTGAATACTTTGTTTTCCTTCTCCTTCTCCCCCTCCTCTATACAGGCCTTCTCACCTCCTATGCTCAGGACCAAAGTACGAGGCATGCGTGGAAGACCCAGTTCACAAAACTCCATCATAGAGATGAGGCAGGAAGAGCAGACTGTTGGATGTGCTCAGGTAAAGGAATGTACCTCTGTTTCGCCTCATTAGCAGAGCTGGCAGAAAGAGTATTGATGTACATTACAATTAAAGGAAGCAAAAACTGGCTTTAACAATGAAACGAAACTCTCTTGCCCCTAGTTAAACCCCCCTCCCCAAAACCAAACCTGAATGAAAAGAATCTAGCACTCTTGGGGGGTGTGGAAAATTTAGCTTTATTCCTTTCTTTGCACCACTAAATTCAACAAAGTCTTATTGAGTGTCTACTATGTGGCCCACTGCAGATTTTTCCTTTTACTCCTATTGGACTCTTGAAGAGCCTGGTCTGAGTTTTTCCACTTGTTTGCAATGACTTCCTCCTCAGAAATTTTCAGTGATAGGGTTCTTAGATGCTGTGAACTTCTATACTAGCTTTTGGCGTTATGCTGACAGCTCTGTACAAACTGTAAACATCAAAGAAGAGAGCAAGTTTTTCAGCCTACATACAGCACTACATCTTGAAAATTTGTGTACATTTGTATACAAATGAGATGAACTTCACTCTTGGCCCTGACTATAAAGGGAAATTAATTTTGCTTGTAGTGTCATCCTCTGGCTTTCCTATTAAATACAATCTGAGTAATGGACAAAGGAAACAAAAGTGGAAAACATCAGAGAAATCCAAAGGAACTACTTGATGCAAGAAACAAACAAAAATGGAGCAAGAAGTAATGGCAAAAAAGGCAGAACAGCCACACAGGCTGAGTTTCCAGGAATTCAGGAATAGTGAGAGTGTCCATGTATAGGATGATGTATACGGATAGTTTTAAAGATGATTTCCAGGAATATGAAGAATATCTAGACTTCCATAAAAACTCATAAGAATAGATAAAGACTCAAACTTTATTTGTTATATATTTCATTGTACTCATTATTACTGTTTTTCTATTTTAATAGGTTAGGGAAACAAAATATTATCCATGACAACTGAACTTCTGTTTATACTCAACTATTTATCCATCCATCCATGCATCCATTCATCTTTTATGGCTCTGTCTAGATGTCTCCCCACAGCCTCATGCAGTTGTGGGAGGGGCTTTTTCAGCGGTGGCTGGACCTAGAGTGAGTGATGCTGGGATTGATTCATCCATCCTAGGATTAAGGGTACTAAATTACTAAATTAGTTACTAAACTGGTTACTAAATTAGTCCACTGATTGACTTGGCACCCACCCTAGGGCAGGTAGTCTACGTAGAGTATAAAATGGACATAAAGAAGCTGCTGTTGTTGCTTGCTAGCATGCTGACTTCTGCCTTCTGCCTGCCATGAACTGTTTCTCCTCTCTGGTGCCCTCTGCCATTCCATCCTGTCTGGGAGCCAGGCATTTATGGACTGAAGCCTCTGCAAACCATGAGCCAAATAAACATTTTTTCCTTTAACTTTGGGTGTCAGGTATGTACCCTATTTCAGTAATGAGAAAAGCAATTAAGACACCATCCTTTTGGGCTATTTAACCATTTTCTGACATTTTTGTCTGAAACATTAAAATATTTTCTTAGGCATGATTTTTTTTAAATGAGATAATCAATTTGTGACCTCAAATGACACCCAGGCCTTCCATTACACCCTACCCCCTCTCTTCTAATTTGTCTTCTGAAAAAACTGGCAAAATCCTTTTGGTTCCAATCATGGAGCAGTATGTAGAAACTTGCAGCAACTAAAGCTGGATGGCCTGAATGACCCTGTAGGCCTCCTTCCTGTGCAGAGCCCTTTTAGAATGCTGTTTCCATTGCTTTGTGGGAAAGCCATTGGCCCCCTGGGCCTGGGTTGGACTTGATGACCTCCAGGGTCCTTTTCAACTTAAAAGTGTCATAATTTTCTAATATTTAAGAATTTCCAATTTATAGATGAAGTGATTTCCCAGGCTTAATTGAAGGAGCAGAGAAACTGGGGTTGTTTAGCACATTAGCTCAATCTGCCAGTTCTGTTTTTGACATTGGATGTATTCGATAGTACTGTAGACCTGCTTTTGTATTTATAGATCTCATAGTTATTTGTTTTTCTACTGACATTTCACTCATATAGTTGGGATGGCGGATGTTCAGGGAAGTTTTTGAATTTCTTTGCTCACCATTGTGAAAAGCAAGGGCATTTTTCTGTTGTACAAATGTTCCAACATTCTCTTGACTCAAGCTGATGCATAGTAATAAGAACAGGAGACAGAAGCAGATCACAACGGCAGTTTGACTGACTGAGCAGAAAATGGGAGACTGTGAAGGTGCACTGGAGTCACCTGGAGACTCCTCAAAGCACAAAGTACTTTAGAAAGAACGAGAAGAGAGAATCTGGAAGGTTCCCAACAGAAGGAGATGACCAGTGTTTACAGAGATGAAAGTACTAATTACCTGACTGGGTCATTGTATGTTGTACATTTGCAAGAAATCATCACACTGTGCCCCCAACAACATATGTGATTAAAAAAGAGTAAAAGCCACAATAACAAAAACACACATCTGCCATTGTGAACAGCTTAGGCCTCCTCACAGCCCCTTTTCTGTAGGTGTAGAATCATTTAAATGATATATTTTTACTTAAGGAAACTCCCATCCTTTATTATAATTTTCATTATCCATCAGTGCAATACTATTACATATGTTTCTTTAACCTGCTTAGTTGCAAAGTCCTAGAGGGTAGGTATCTGCCCAAGCCACTTTTACACTTTTCAAGTGAAGAAACGAATATGATGGTTAAATGATGCCTCTTCCTTTCCGTTTTGGAGGTTTGTCCGTCTGTGCTTGTCTTACTACTAGAGAGGTGACAGACAGCAGAACCTAGATTCTTTCCTCCTAGCGCCCTTGAGGATGAGGAGTACTCCAGTCTGTGGAGTTACAGTAGCTATCAGGTGAGCAGCTGCTGAGCAAATTTAACCCACAGCACTGTGTCCAAACCAAAGACAGTGGGCATTTCTAGGCAGAGCATTTCATGATCTCTCAAAAAATGGTAACTCTAATGCCAGTAACCTTTGGTCTTATTTATGACTTGGGATCGGTTCCCAACTTTGCTACTTACTAGCTGTGGGGTTTTCTGAAAGCAGCTTAATCTCTTCCAGCCTTTACCTCTTCATTTGGGAAATGGGCAAAAGGATAACTGAGACATCTTAGAGGGTTGGGAGGCTGCATTGGGGTGGTGCCTGTGGAGCGATCAGCAAGCTGCAGGGCCAATGATGGGTGCTCAGCAAGGGACAGGCGTCCTTCCAGAGTGGGCATCTGAGGGCACCAGAGAGGCTGGAAGATGACATGCAGTCACCTGGGCCCAGCTGACCACAAACACGTCTGCTGCGCCAGGCTGTGTACAGTCAGAGTGGATGGGAAGGTGGTGAAAGTCATTTCTGCTCTGGAGTCGTTTACAGAGTCCTGTGAAGAGAGGTGAATGGCCAGGCCTGACCGAAATATCCCAACACCACCGGAAAGAAGCTGATGGGTGGGGGTGGCGTGTGCGCCTGCCTGGGGGTGCAGCAAGGGAGCCTGCTTATTTCTCCCTGTGGGGATGGTTCATTCTCAGCTCTCCCCCTCTTTCTTGGTACCCACTTGTCCAACAGCATGGACTTTTTTTCCCCCAGTACTGGGGATTGAACTCGGGACCTTGTGCTTGAAAGGCAGGCGGTGGAACCACTGAGCTAAATTCCTGGCCCACCATGGACTTTCTTTCATTTCGTCTTCTCAAGAAGTCATCAGCTCAGCTGCGCCAATAAAAGTGCTATTTTTAAAATTGGTTGTCAATACTTTAAAAAATGGGGCATATTTGACACAAAAATCAGGAATTTTGGCTTCTCTGGAAAGTAGTCACTGGCTATTGCTTCCTTTTCTGGGACATGTTGTCGTTTCCGGTCCCACTTCCCTCATGCATGTCACTGGCCAGGGCACTGCCCGTCCCCACTGGTGCAGAGTAACTGCTCGCTCAAGCCCTCCCATCCAGGCACCTGTCTCCTTTTGCCGGGTGAACTGCTACTTTCCTTCCCATTCCTCCCCATCCACACTCAAGCTGTCATCTTCCTGGAAGCCTCACTTGAGTGACTCCATCCCTCTTGATTTCTCTCTTCTATGGTCCCATTTCCTGGTGCACTAAAGATCAGGGTTGGTGAGAGTCTTCTATCCAGACACGGGAGAACTTTGCTATAAAAATACTTTAAATGCCCACCAAGAGATGACAATAAAAATGAACTGACTTACTTTTAAATCCCCTGTGGTCACAGCGCCCGCTCACAGCCAGGACATGAGAGGGCGCCACTTCTGTGGCTGGTTGCTTCTCAGGGCTTGTGTCCAACATGGATGCAGGAGAGGTTTACATGTGTTTGTCTAATCATTTAATTCATAGCTCTCTCTCCCACCACACTGCCAGATTTAGTTTCCTTTTGTATTTACTGACCTGGCACAGGGCCGGGCCCACTGGAAGTGCTCAATGAGATTTATTGGATAAATGAAAAACTAAGTAGTTAGGTTATATCCATCACTTGAGAAATTACACTGCATAATTGGCCAAGTTGATTTGGAAACAGAAAGTTTTTGAATATTTATGTTCTCCCTGAGAAGATGGGAGGTATGAAGTCAAATTCCTACTTTTGCCTGAAGATGAAATTAGAAATTAGGTGGGAAATTTGTACCCCTCGATCAATATAGGGCAAAATATCAGCTGCATAACCTTAAAAACCTAAGCAATTAACTTTGTTTGAAAAGGTCAGCAGTAGTTGGGCTCTTCTTCTCTGACAAGTTGAGCTGTCCAACAGAACTCTGTTGAAATTAGAAATATCTTTGGCAGAGTTAATCAGTCTTGTTTATGCTGTCATACTGCAGGGCAAGCGGATTTTGCAATTCCAACCTGTCTAGAGGAGCAGGTAGGTTTTCTTTTGCCCTTCCAAATATAGCATGGAAATCTTGCCACCAGTGCCCAAGAAGATAACAGTAAAAGTAGGTGCTATTTTTTGAGTGTCTGCTCTGAAAATAGTCCTGATTCCTTTACATATATGACCTTCATATGTTCCA